AAATGTATTCAACGACTACATCTCTCAAATTTCCGGACTCTTTTCTCACTCAGACACAACAGCTGCCATGCATCTTTGTACGCACAGGACAGCCTGCACATGCTGTTTTCAAAACAGTTAAACTTCTGTTGAAAACAATAACAAAGTGCTAAACTGAGTAGGACAGCGGGATTCGACAGCAATATTTGATAGAAAGATATTTGAAAGGAAAACTGCGGTTTAACCAGCCACCGCTGACTGTAGAGGAACATCTGCACAGGTGTTACTCTTTCTGCTTCATTACAAAAGGAGAGAACTGCTGAATAGGTTTGTGTTGTGATGTAAACGTGGATCCAGCCAGAAATAGAGAAGAAGAGAGGCTGGGAGGGGCGAGGATTGCGTAGGGATGCCTGGACACATCTGTCTAGTAGTGGATGATGTGTTTACAGGTTATTGTACTATGGAATTAGTAAAAACAGAACAATAAATAAACAAAATAAAATATTGGCAAGTTCTGCATGACGTCTGATTCATTCTGGTAACGTGCATTTATGAACAATATATATTGCAGTTAGAAACAGAGATGTTGTTTTACACAAGAAAACATGATGATGCTACGCATGTGTCGGCTGTCAACCTTTGCCAGTGTTCTGAAGAAAGTGTTTATTTGAGACCTGAATGAGGTGTTTTGGTGGTTGTCGTGCATTTTGAATGTGAAATGAGCTGCTTTGCCGCGCTAGGGGTTGTATGAACGAGTCGACTAGTCGAGTTCACGGCTCTGTAGCGACTTTTCATGCCTGTCATCCACTAGTCGCTGTCACGTGATAATGACTGACAAGATGCATTCCTCAGAAATGACAGCAGGTGATGAGCCCCTGCGTGTCGGGAGGCGGAGGCGACGCGCTGTGCCAGAGCGTCGGTACTGACACCGGTGGTAAAACGGACATTTAACAAAACTGTGACCTTTTCCCTCTTGCAATTTTACCTTCCCCTCACCCCCATCTTAATCTTAACCAGTTTGCGCATGCAAAGCTCTGATCGTTGACGCACTCCAGACATCTGCGTCATGAGCACCGCCAAATTAGGTGTCACCACCTCAAAAACAAATTAAACACGTGATCGTTCATGTCGGCTCATTTCCTTTCCTGTTTTCTGTCTTTTATTTGTGCCTGATGCGTTTCGCTGCTGCGGAGCGAGGCGCATCACCTGTTTTGTCCTCCGGTGACGCACCCCCAAGATTCCACTCTCCGCTTCGCTCCGGCACGAACTCCGCAGCAAAAACGGTCCCGTTGTAGTCGGCCGGCGAGCAGCGGCACTCCGCTGTTTTTGTGGTCGGTAGATCTTTTAGAACTGCAGTTCAAAGGTAACTCATGAGGTGAATATATATGAACCCAGGTAGCAGTTTTTCTTTAGGATTGAGAGGAGATGCAGGAAGATAATAAACAGACAGGACAGAAAAATAGTCAAATAAAAACAAGTTAGTTTTTGTACCTGCTGTTGCAACAAACAGACACCATTGAAGGTAATCAGAAGTGAGGAACAGAAAATGAAATAATTATTTTAATGTTTAGAGCAGCAGGAACTCCGAGAGGCTGCAGACGTATCAGTGAGTTTGCGGCCGCTGCGCAGGGGGAGGGGGGAGAGGGCTGAAGCAGAAACTACTGTTGTTAAAAGAAACGTGTTTAACTTTGAAAATGTGGGTGCAATTTTAATTGTCAAAAACTCCAGCGAACCTATAGACCCCCCCCCCCCCGTGCCGCTTTAGGTGTATGACGTCATCAACGACTAGTCGAAGTCGACTCGATTTTCATTACTGGACTGTCGACTTTAAAAAAAATTAAGTCATGCAACCCCTATGCCGCGCTGAAAGTCGGTTAGAAGTGTGTGAAGTGTTTTGCAAAAGCGACCTAAGATGTGAGAAATGTGACCTAGCGACTGTTAAAAACTGTAAAAGCCTTTTTCCCCTTGTAATTTATTTGTTTTCCTCTGAATCCAAAATGTTACTGTGTTTATATTTAACATACATTTATTGGGCGGTGTCAAATTCAAAGAATGTCACAAACATTGTGTGTGCTATATGTGTTGGTGCTTCCGATCAGCTTCCCCAGGTGTGTCTTATTGTTCACACCTGCTTGGTTCCCGGCCTCTCAGAGCTTTGGTATAAAAAGGTAGAAGTCAAAACCACAACACAAGATAAAAAATGAAGAAATAAAACGTGGCAACAGGAGAAAACAGCAGCATTCTCTTCTGTGTACGCCCCACATACACATTTAACTCGGAATGAGGTTCTCTGTGGGGAGCCAAAATGCATAAATAAATCAAAATTACCATTTTGATACAAACCAAATGATCCATTCTGTTTGAAGTTGAATCTCTAATTTAAGATAAAAACTGATAAAAGCAAAAATAACAGTTAAAAATGACACATTGAAGCTGTAACACAGAGGAAAATTGACTGAAATGTGCTCAAAAAGCCTTGGGATCTGATTTTATAGATAAAAAAAATTCACTCATGTAAATGTTTGGGATTCATTTGTGTGTAAAATGTAAGACTTTTATTTACTTTTAACTTTATTCTATAATTCATGGTTAATTTCTTCTATTATTTTCACAAAAACCCAGAGGACTTAAGGACAGCCACCATGATCAATATGACTTCCAGTTGAAAATCAATAACATGATTTTATCATAGACTTGCAATAGCATGCAGAAAGCTGAAAGCTTTAGTGGTTAAGTCTTAGTTTGTAGCCTCTCTGTGCGATGTGACACGTTTACACGCAGATCATCTGAGCTGGTATCTAATGTCTGTTTTCTGATGCTTCTGTGATCCTGTCTTCTCACCTTTTACTACAAAATTATGAAATCCACACGCCGAAATAGCCTCACTTTAATGTTTGCTGCGTCCCAACAGTGGCACAAGCATTATCAAAACACGTTAAAAGGACATATATTAGATAAAAGGTCACTTTCACTTGACTGAAACGCTCTGATTTACACGACTGACATAACAGAACATCTGACATCTGATTGGAAGGTTGTAATGCTGAGGTCACGAGTCCAGAACCAGGAGCGGACACCGCTGTGTCAAAGATAAACTTCCTTCTCTTCACTGTCCTCACTAACAGACGTGTCACTGTTCCTGCTCTCTGCCTGCTTCTGCCCACCGGACTCTGTCACGCTCTCTCTAGTGGGCGTGCTTTCTTCATCCTGAACATCAGGATCGGTGTCCCTGTTACCCATGGCTTCTGTGATGTCGCCCGTGTGATTGGTGCATATCTGACTAGGCATGCTCAGGTCCGAGTCAAACTCTGAGTCCTTCCCATCTGTGGGATTCTGGTAGGTGTCAGTGGTACTGCTGGAGTCTGAGATGTGCTCTTTAGCTGTGTCGAAGGAGCCAGACAGATTACTCTCGCTAAGCGACTGGCTCACGACGGTGTCCGTCTCAGAGCCGGAAACGTCTACGTGAGGGCAGTCTGACTCCGCTGGACAGTGACCCTTCAGACTGTAGTCTTCAGGAGTTGTGTGGGTCATATGAGGCCCTGGAGCTGGTGTAACTCCACACCTCTCCGTATTTCCCATATGAGCATCCAGCCATGTTTCCCTGTTTTGGTTACTTCTTCTGTCTGCAGCGTTCAGCACCTGCGGATCAGCACCTGAGCTGTCCATGTCAGCCAGAACTCGTATCAAACTCTGAGCTTTGTCTCTGTAAACTTGGCACAGCTGATCATTTGGCATGTGGTTGCCATGGATCTCCGCCAGCTTCATGTACACTATGTACAGAGTTTTGGGGTCAGAGTGGTCTTCGAGAGCAGCAGCCAGAGCCAGCTGGAAGTAGCCCACTGCATCATGAGCATCCTGCAAAAGGAGAACACAGAAAAATTAACTCAAAACACGTATTGATCACATTTGAGTGGCGGATTATGAATCTTGCTGATTTTCTGTTATGGCTCATCCTGCTGTCACTCCCTCACAGCCCCACCCTATTTCTGTCCAACCACTCCTCCATCCACAAACCCATCAAATATGCTTACACAGGGAGTGGGGCAACAATATCAGAGGAGTTAAGTGTCCGCCCCATAATTGGAAGGTTGCAGGCTTGAGCCCCTCAAAGCCCTTTATAGACACCATGCCAGCAAATCAGCCTGATACTGCTGCCACGGTGTGTCTTTTGATTGCGCCGTGACGGCATGGCGTTGGAGGAATCTTTCGACATTCATGCCGCCACGCTTGGCAGTAATACTGCCACAACGTCGGACTTGTGAATGCAAATGACGTTTTGGTGCTACAGAGGGAGGTGTCATGATCACGAGGGGAGTTACTGCCGAGCTCTGGCCGGCAGCAGAACCAGCTGAGATGATAAACCAGAATGATGCAGCGCTCCAGGAGCTGGAGCTCAGATCACCAGAGACGGCACGGGGACAGTGGAGGACACATGCCTTTAGGAGTGGCTTTTTAACAAACTTAATAAGCTTAATAATAATTCCATCGCAATAAAAAGCATGTCCAAGATAAACAAAAGTCCACGGCAGTGCAGAGACCGCCTCCATGCCCCCTTTATACCGCCATCACATAATCTTTCGTAAAAAGCTGCTGCTGCTGGTGGTGAATGGCTGACTATGTTGTAAAGTGCCTTGGGGGGGTCTAGGACTCTGGAAGGTGCTATATCAAATACAGGCCATTTACTATATCAGAGGACCATGTTTTTCCATATTTCTTCATTTCTGTCCTTTTCTTCAGTTTGATACGTTCCAGTTGTAATTTCATTACCAACCTCAGTCCCAAGCTTGGGACTAGAGGTCTATTTTTAGCCACCTGCTCCCCCCTACAGCCGTTTTACAATAGCTGGCATCCATGAGATTTGCACTGGGTCCCGTGAAAAAAACGTTACCACCGCCCCCACCGGCCCGCAGCGTCTCTACGGCTGTGTAGATCCCCCCCACCCCCGCCCCACCGGCCCGCAGCGTCTCTACGGCTGTGTAGACGCACCCACAGCAGCAGCTTTACAGCCTCCCGCCGCTGTCTGCTGAACGCCTGCACAAACAGGGGAAGGTCATGACCTACTGCTTCTTCTGCATGACAGGTTGGAGGTGTGGCGTGAGAGCGTGTGAAGACAGCCAAATGCCTGTCTCACGTTCAGTGTGTAAAAGTTGGCAGCCCTGTAGGCGTGGTGGCCGTCTTGACTGGATTAACTCCAAAGTTGAATCAGTTGTAGAAAATATCCATCCATCCGGCTAAAAAAGCAGCTAACGGCATCGTTTTAAGGAAAGTAACTTGCTTCATCAGCTCAGACCTGAGAGCATTTGCTGGACTACTGATGCACCACACCATTTGGTTTGGGGAGATTTTAGCAGCAAACTGCTCGTCTTGTGCTTGCTCGAGAGATTCTGCCTGAGGTTTACTACCTTGAGCTCATGCAGAGTGAGATTTCCCAGCCTGCTGTAGACCTTAGCATAGTAGCGGGCCTCCATGGGGTGTTGCAGGACAGGCGGACCCAGAGACAGGGACTTCACATAGTAGTTTTCTGCCATCTCATGCTGCTGCTGGCTGTAGTAAACTGTAGCCAGACGATGGTAAGCGGCCCGCTCGTTTCCACACACTCCTGTTTGGCCGGCAATCTCAACAGCTAGCTTTGCGTACTGCAGCGCCTCCTCCTGCTCCCCTTGGCTCATCAGCAGCTCTGTCATTTTACTCAGCACACGGAACTCTGAGTGGGTGTCTTTGATGCTTCGAGCAAAGGCCAGACTTCCATCCTGAGGAAATGGGAAAAAAAATATGAGTTCAGAACAACTTTTCTTAGGATCAAAACTTAAAAACCTTGCCATGTAGTCATCTTGCTCTGACAACAGCAAAACACACAGTTTGCCTTTCTGCTCCTGCACCCACCCTGTAGAAATGCGCCGCAGCCATCCGGTTCCTCTGACCTTTGAAGTAAACATCACCCGCCTCCTCATAAATGCTCAAAGCAAAGCGAGGGTCATTCATCCTCTGGGCTGTCTTCACCGCTGCCTGTCAACAAACATTCAACGCATCTCAGTGAGTAACGGCACAAATCTATTTGGAATATTTATGACTGTGGACAACGTTCTCTATTTGTTGTGTTTTAAAGGACAAAAAGAGCTCCTGCAGCAGAGCCGGAGCTCTCACAGACACACCAATGACCTCTTACTGAGGTCTGCGTTGGAATGCCGACCGACGACATTCAACCAGTTCCAGTTTTATGAAAGAACAAAGGCAAAAAGTCACTGAAACTAAAACCATTCATGTTGGACTTCCTCCTGACCTGCAGGTACATGTCGGCCAGCTCGTCCTCCTGGATGAGGTAGTAGATGCGTCCCACCTGGAGCCACGTCTCCGACTCTTCCTCTCTCTTGCCCAAATCAATAGAAATCCTCAGGCTCTGCTTGGTGTAGTCCAGAGACTTACGAGATGATCTGCACCACACGGTTCAAAGTGAGTGTCGAACGAGCGTCGGATGAGAATTCGACTCGGAGTGAGAGAGAAGAAGGGTGTACTTCTCTGTGTTGAGTGACAGGTAGAAGCTGCTGAGTTTTTCCAGACACTCCCCCTCCAGCTTCTTGTCCTTTAGCTCTCTGGACACTGACACGCAGTGTTCGTAGTAAACGATGCTCTGAGCGTACAGCAGCATGTCGGCATACAGCCGACTCAGAAGCTTCGCCACCACGAGCTGACCTGTGAAGAACACAGAAGGTCTAATGGCACATTGATAAAACTGCTAATGACTGAGGCCTATTTCACAAATAATGTACAGATGTTGTCTGAATAGAAAATTCTGTGCAGATGTTCGGCAGAAGCTTCAACATAAACAGCAAAGCATCCGCGCTGTTCCACGAGGAGGTAAACACATAAAACAACAAAGAAAACACAACGTGAGAACAGTTTGCTGTTTCCTCTGAACAACAACAAACTTTAATGGCAGAAGAAGCAGAAAAGGTCATTTTGGCTGCAGAATCGTTCTACGTGTGAACGGGACGTCAACCCGACCCGGCTGCGTCGATGTTTATCAGAATATCTGCACATGTACAACATCATGATGTGGATGAGTGTTAAAAAACAAAACCTAAACATCACATTCAGTAAGGACAGAACTGCAGCCAGTCTTATTCAAAGGGCTGATTTTTAATCTTTCAAAATTTTTTTATTACTTTAAGACAAAAAAAAGATCCTGTTTTGATTCGATGAAGTCGAGCCTGCACACAGCCACACGTTCACTTACTGTGCAGGTTTTTTGCATGCAGTGCAATTAAAAGCCCCATTTCGTAGCACGCCCTGATGTCCTGACTCTTCCCTCTGTCCTTGTAGCTCCGTCCAAGCCAAAGGTAGGTCTGAACATGCTCCTCATCGGTCGGGCTCTCCTGAAGGTCCAGAAAAAGGCACAAGGATCTAGAACAGAGATAGTACGCACTTTGGGTTAAGTAAACCCTCAACCCTCTGTCTGAATGAAAGGTAAGAAGAAAAGGAGCTGACCTGACCAGGAAACGCTCTGCAACCAGAGACGCCCCC